ACAAACATCCATAAATAGGAGGCAGTGATGACCCACATGACGGATTTCTTCACGGCTGAGCTGGCTTTGTTTTACGTTTTCCACACAGAGACACCCAGAATTTTAGAGGTCACTAAGCCAACTTCTCTTCCATTAAAGGAATCTCTGAAATAGTGTTTTTCAACCTTCTTTGACCATGAGCCACATGAAGAAGTGCGTCCTAACCTGTGACCTGGCCTGTACCCCACATATAAATGTATCCACAGAAACAAAAATTTCATGAACTCATATTAACTCACCATGTGATAAGCTTGTGATGATCTATTTGATTATATTTCATTTAAAAAGACGGGTTAATATACTATTTTTATATACTTTTGAAAAATTTCTTAAGGTTTAAAAGCTTTGCTGGATGGGATTCATGAGCGAGTTGCAGCCCAGTTTGGAAAGGCCTGCTCTCAAATATATACACCAAATTAAAGGCCGACTGTCCTGGGCTCAACCTGACTCCTGCTATTTACAGGACATGGCCCTCAGAGAGTCATTCTGACCAGCCATGAGCTTCAGGCTTCTTGCAGTGTTGGAGCGAGAATAACCAATAATATATGTAAAGCACCTGACCCTCAGCAGACTCACGATAAATGGTAGCTATTTGTCTCTTAAATAGTGCTGATCATAAATCTTGGAAAAGTAATAAAGGCTTCCAGGCAACTGGGTCCAGTTCAATCATCACACAAGCCCACAAATGCACAAACAGACCTCAAATGACAAAGGTCAAGATTCCAATAGCCCACGACCCTCAGCCCTCCACACTCCATCCCTAGTCCTGCCTGAGCCTTCCTGGGGCTGCTGGTGACCTCTCCTTTCCTCCTGAGGGGGTCTGAAGCTGCAGACTCTGATCATCTCCAGCCTGACTCCAGGGATCCTCAGCTAGCCAGGCATGTGGGGCTCTCGAGAGAAGCCGCTCTGAACATGGGTTCTCAAGTGTGGCTTGCAGCCGTCTGCACTGGACCCGCTCCAAATTCTGGTTGGATGCGCTGACTTCCCCTGAATCCTAATCACCAGGGATAGGGCCCAGGAACTGCATTTTAACAAGCTCTTTGGGTCATTCTTAAGCATATTTAGTCAAGGGACTACTTAGGGTTCGTCTTCAAGGTGGCCCCCAGATACTCGTGTGACCTCAGGGAGCAGAGCTAACCCTTCTCTCAGAAGATACCACTCTGTCCCTCACTTGATTCCCAAATGCCCTTAATTAAACCGGGCTGCCCTGAATGCTCAGCAATTGAAGAAACAACATCAAGGAAAAACTCACACCTGAGACTCACACACGCGTGGGCAAGTCACCTTGCCATGCCTCTGGTGACCTGGAGTCAACCCTCCGTGCCAGGAGACAGCAGGGATGTGCTGTCACCAAGGCCAGAAAAGCGGGGGTGGGGGTGGGGCATGACACCTTCCCAATCAGTGAAGCCTGGGGCTGGCTTCCCCTGGCCAGGATGTTTGGGACGCTTGTCAAACACGGCCGTTATTAAAATTTAGATTATTATAAACTTACAGTGAAATAAATTATATTAAAAACAGAGGCAATAAATACTCAAAACTTGTCACTTCCCCATCGTTTCTCCACAGTTTACCATGACCTATGCTCCTGCAGTTCTTCACCTCTGAGCAGCCGTCAGCGGCTGTGCCTCTCTCCCAAGTGCACACACAGCCCCCTCATGGTGGCAACTTGAAAAAGGCCATTGTGGTGGCGGGGGGAATACTTGAACCACGGAAGCCAGCCAACAGCACCCCTCAGGGCTTAGCGGTATTACTCTGTTGACCTTTCCATGCGAGAAAGTGATGGGAGAAAACACGAACGATGCAGATGAAACCCAACCCTGCGCTGTGTCTGCAGCTGTTCCGCGGCAAATAGCACAAAACCTTGAGAGAATATTCTCCCAGTGCGGGAGAAATGTCATCTGACAGAGCAAAGTCTCTCCCAACACTGGAGGAGTGAAGTTCAGGTGTGACTGTTGCTTCCCGTCGGTTCTGATCTTTAAAGTCAGTGCAAACGGCAAACCACGTTCCCTTCCGAGCCGGCCTGATCAGTCGGGAGTAACCACAGGTTTGCTGCTAAGTTTAGCAAAAATCACAGAAATTTGGTGAGAGCCAACTGGCTACCTGGAATTTAGAGCATCGTGTATCTTCCTTGTAAACGTGTGTGCTCTATTCTATTTATCATAAGCTTCCGTATAAATGTCCACACACATTTTCCCTGGCGGGGCGACTTACAGCATTTCCCGGCCACGACTGCTCCCGGAGCATACAAGAATGAAGAGCCGGCAGGACAGGATGCAGCTTTAAAACGGTGAAGAGCATCTTCTTTCAATCCTGCCATTGTCTGTCTTTCTAAACCCAGTGGGAAAGAATGCCAGAAGTCGAAATTTGGGGCTCCCCGGGAGTGTGAATGGAAGGCTCTGAGCAAAGACAACCTGGTCCAGACCCTGCGGCCTCCCACAGTTACGCGGCGGAATCGGCCATCAGCCAAGTGCAGTAGGACCGACCCTACGTGCCCCAGCCAGGCAAGACAAAGGGGGCTGTCAGCCTCCGCAGACATGCACTAGGACCTCTGCGACTCATCTCTATTTTTTCCTAACTCCCAGTTTCCTTGGAATGGGTAGTCCTCGTGGTGAGGTGGTGGTGACCAGAACTCAGGGCACTCGGGGTGGCTGGATTTCATGGGTGTTTTATGGCAAGCTCTTTCTTTCCAACCCTTGCGTACCATCTGCTTTCCAAGAATGTGGTGGCAACTAGCTAATTTTGCATGAGATACATGGAAACTCCTGAGCTCGCCTATTCCTCCCTGGTCATTCTAGAAGAGCAGACCCGAGCCTAGAGGGGGCAAGAATCTGCCCCAGACCACGAGCAAGTTGATGGCAGAGTCAGCCCCACAACCTCACGGACCAAGCGGACGGACTTTCCACCACCACCCCTGCTCTGGCCCAAACCCCGGCCAGGCTGTGTCCAGAGCAGAGGGAGGTGGGGGGCTTGGGAATGCCACCCCCCCTCCGCCAGCCCTGGGGCCTCTGAGCAGGACTGCCCTCCCTGGCCCTCAGCTCTGGCACGGCCCGTTTACCTGCTCCTATCACCACGGCATCATACTCAGGATTTAGGCATCCCCTGGCTTCCCAGTGAGCTCGTCTCCAAGCCGGGCAGGGAGAGGCACCCAAGGCCCTGCCGAAACCTGGGCCACCTGCAGCCATTTCTGCCCAGCACTAGGCCAGGAATTTGTTTACAATCAGCTTTTGTGCAGCCCAGGTGGGGGGGAGGGGCAGGGAGCAAACAGGAAGAGAGGAGAAGCTGCAGTCCAGCTGCCGTACTTGGCTTTGGGCCATGAGGACATGCAGCTCATGGAGTCCACACAGGGCAGAGTCTCAGGAGGCCACCAGTTCACCGGGCAGAAGTTGGGTCCCCTCCAGGCCGCAGAGGAGAGCCACTGTGCGGGTCACTCTCGGGCTCCCACGTGTGAGGTGCTGTGCTCACGGAGGCCCCAGAACTCCCATTTCATGGACGAGGGGCACTGAGGCTCGGAAAAGGGGCGGCGGAGGTCATGCAGCCAGTGAGCAGGTTGGTGGGGCCCCGTCCCCAGCACTGTCCTACTCCTCATGAAGTTTACTGTCCGGGGTGTGCTGGGGAGTGAATCCTGAGGAGATACTGGTCAGACTCTGCTCTAGCTCCCCATCTTTCCACCTGCAGAGGTGAGCGGCTCTACACCCCACAGGGTCGCCTTGACCAGGGCCTCAGCAAAACTACGGGGGCTGGGGGGACATCTGTCGCTGCAGCGTGCTCCCAGAGAGCTGAGTGCTCCCTCCTAGACCCTGAAACACCTTGCATTCAGAAGAGGCTGCCGCAGGAGCCTGCAAGGGCTGGAGAGTTTGGGGTTCGCCTTCTTCTTTTGACAGCCTGGACATCCCTCTTGTCTTTGGCACCTTTCCCATTTCCCCAGAATCCTTAAGGATTAAAGATCACATCTGCAAGTATCTTCAGCTAACACACTTTCTTGCTATGCTTTGGACTGCCTGGAATTAGGAGCTCCTTTGTTCTCTGCCCATTAGCTAGCAGGCCATTCCTCTTGTTAGAGGAAAAAAGCACCCAAGAGTTGAGTTTCTGTACTGCCATGACATCTGTCCATATTCTAGAAACCCGCTATTAGAAGTGCACCTTAAAATTGGGAGAGTATGCAGAGAAGGTGCGTCTGAGCAGGAGAGCCTTCCGCAGATCCTTCTACTCATGACCGAGACACCCCTCCGCACGTCAGGTTTACACTGTGTGCGAAACTATGCTGGAGTCTGATGCAGGATGCTCGCCCCAGTGTTACAATATTGAAAAATTCGGGGGATTGGTTCAACTAGACATGTCGACATCATGCAGCTACTAAAAATTAAGGGACAACAGTAGGTGACAGAAGCGGGTACCCTAAGCAGCAGTGGGCATCTAGACTTACTTTCCCCCGCTTTGTGCTCTTCTGTGTTTTCCACAACTGATGTTAAATTTCCATTTGTAAAGTCAAGATATTAAGGAGGCATGTGGTCCCACTCACCTCAGGTGACTGTCCCTCACTGCCACGTCTGAGGACATTAGTGTGAGGTGTGGTTCTGCCCCCACTTCACCCCCACCAGCTGTCTCCTTAACAGAATAGAGTCTCTGCGTGAATTCTGGCTCAAGACTGAAGACATGGAAGGCCCAGCTACTGTCAACACGTCAGAAACGCTGCCTGGGTGCCTCCTCCTGCCACGGTGCTTCTCTCCTACCTGCGGCAGATGCTCCCCAGTCCCAGGGCTCAGGTGCCCTGACCTGCGGTGGGAGCTTCTAGGTGACAGGAGAGGGGCCGTCCCCCTGAGGCAGTGGTTCTCAACCCAGGGCACGTAGGGATCGGCTGGGGAGCTTTTATAAACCTCTGCCTGGGATCCAGAGGACCAAGGGACACAGATCTCTGAGGTGGGGCTGAGGCAGGAGTCGAGACGGAGCAGGGTGCGGATGGACCAGGACTTCAATGCACCCGGAAGAGCCCAGGAGCCCAGGCACGTTTGGCTTGAACAACAGTGACCACAACCAGCATTTATTGAGCACCTGCCGCATGCCGGGCAGCCCTCACAACCACCCCGAGAGGTAGGTGCTATCCCTCTGAATGCGGGGGAAACGGGTGTAGAGTGTGGGAAACCCGCCCAGAGCTGCAGAGAGGAAGTGGCCCACCCAGCCAAGGCAGCACCTTGCATTTGGGGAGGGAAACGGCTTCCCGAGGAAGCTCTTTCTCCACTCCAAGGAAAGCATAAAGGAGGTATCTTCAGACACCCGCAAGCCCCGGGGACTTCCTGTCTCCTGGGGATCAAGGGAGAGGCAGCTCTGAAAGCAGATGCCCTAGTTCTAACCTCACAGCCACTGTTGTTTTAAGGAGACCAAGGGACTCCCCTGGCCTCCCTCCTCCCCCAAAGAGAAGGATTTGGGGGTTTGGTACCTGGAGGGGAGCCTAGTCTAGGTGGTTTCTTTAAAGAGCCAGGAGGCTGTCCTACCCCTAGCGGCTGCTCTGCAGGGGGCCAAGGTGCACAGCCAGACTGCAGCGCCCTAGCCTAGAGCAAGGGGAGGTGGGAGGTCTCCCACAGGCGCCGGGCCAGCTCGCCGGCCTGCTGCACCAGCACGTCTGTGGGGATGACCGACAGGTGGAGGGCCAGCAGCTCGTGGCACTTGACGGCCTCAGCGGGGTGGCCCTTGCTATAGTAGCGCAGGAGCTTCCTGGAAGAAGGGGGGCGGGATTCAGGAAAGGGCCCCAGCAGCCCTCCCAGACACAGGCGCCCCTCCTGGCATGGCACGGACACTGTCACCTCGCGAGGCCCTAGCACCTGGCCAACCGCATGAGGCTTGGCCCTGGGCCACGCAGTCCACCCCTTTGGGTTCCCAGCCCTGCGTGGGGCCTGCCGATGGCCGTGTCCAGGCCTCGGGAAGCCACAGAGCTGGCAGGGAAGCCCGAGGGCCCGGCACGGATACTGGTGGGTGCTGCCAACAGTGTGGCAGCCAGAGATGGGCAGAAACCCGGGCATGCTCCCACCCACCCCCCTCACTGAACACGGGGCTGGGCAGCAAAGAGCTTCCACCGAGGGCTTCTTGGGGGGCGTTCTTGGAGCAGGAGCTGCTCCCCATGGGGAAGTGGCACTTGCTGGGCCCGCACTGTTCCCAGCAGCCTTGTGAATCGGGGTCACCTGTAGTAGTCTCCTCCCAGCACGCCGATGGAGGCCGAGTCATCCGAGAGGACAGGCACCTCTATTATCTGGAGTTTGTACCCCTGCGGAAGAGGAAGAAGGTCTTACAGGGGCAGGTGGTGGCATGGTGGAAAGAACACGAGCCTGAGTCAGACACCATGTTCAAGGCCTGGCTCAGCCCCGCGTGCTGGGTGCTTGCTGCTTGGACCTCTTTTTACCTCGTTTTCTCAACTGTGAAGTGGGACTAACAGTAACCTCCCAGCGAACACTGGAGGCGATGTATATAAAGCTCTGAGTGTCCTGCCTAGTACACATGTGGTAGTTCTCACTCCCATCAGTGCGTGGACCTGGCGAAGGGACCCACACGAGCTCAGGAGGGCTGCCAGGAGGGCGACCCTGGGAGGTGGCATGCAGGGTCTTGAAGGGCTAGGCATTATCAAAAGGCCCAAGTCTCTGCTGTGAAAGCAACCACAATCTCCAGGGCAGGAGGAGGAGGAGAAGGGGGGCGCCTGGGTGGCTCAGTCGGTTAAGCGTCTGCCTTTGGCTCAGGTCATGATCCCGGGGTCCTGGGATCGAGTCCCGCGTCGAGCTCCCTGATCGGCAGGGAGTCTGCTTCTCCCCCTGCCCCCCCCCATTCATGCTCGCTCGCTCTCTCTCTCGCTCTGCTCTCTCTCAAATAAATAAAATCTTAAAAAAAAAAAAAAAAAGGAAAAGGAGGGGAGGGAATTAAGATGCGCTGGGCAGCCACTGTGCATCGGGCAGGGTCATGGGGCTCGTCTCCATGCTCATGTGGGCACCATGGGGCCTGTCCTGCAGGCGAGGAGGAGGTGTACTCAGCGTGCTAGGTGGCTGCCCGACGGCACAGGGCAGGCAGCCTCCACAGCTGGCTCTGCCCCCCACAGCCCTACTGCAGTCTTGTCACTCCACTGGGCCAGCCATACACACAAAGCCCTGCCTCTCCCTAGAAGCTAAGGTAAAGGTCGTACACACATCCTGGGCTCAGAGCGCAGATGAGAGCCTGTCGGCCAGGAGAGCTGAGCCTGGGTTCTGGCTTCTTCATTTATGACCTTGGTGGCCCTGGCCACAGAGTTTGATCTCCAGGCATCAGTGTCTCTATCTGTAAAATGGGGCCAATGATCCCTGCCCCAACCATGGCACAGGCTGGGAGGACGGGAGGTTGTGAGAGACCCAGGAAGCAGCCTGTACTCTGGAAGGTGCTGGCCATCGCTCTCGGGGCAGAGCGAAGGAGGGCTGCTGCCAGGGAGAGGGCAGGGCCTGGTGGGGGTGTAGAGGGCATGAGGGGCAGAAGGAATGGAGAGAGCTGGAACACGGACTCAAAGTGACAAGTGAGGAGAAAACAAAGAGGTAACAGGAAAGAAAGAAGAGAGAGAGAGAAACAGGCAGCGAGCTCCCATGACCTGTGCTTACACTGGAGTAACAGTGAGGTCTAGAGCGAGAAGTACCAGGCCAGGAGGCCGTACTGTCCTCTTCACCTTGCGCAGGTTGCTACACGGCTCTGAACCTCGGTTTATTGGCCTCTACAATGGGAATGACAGCATGCCGTGCTCTGTAAGCGCGGCTGGCGACGCAGGAGCAGGCGTGAGCAGCTGTTCTCGAGGGGCATGCGTCCATGTGTTCGCGTGTGACCTGGACACCACCTTGAGTGACAGCATGAGTCGTTCAGACAGCTGCTGGAGGGGTCACAAAGCGCCCCTGAACACAGGACCCCTGAGGTCGGGTGCCCACGGCTGTGCCTCCCTGTCAGCTCCACTAGGGACGAGAAGAGATGAAAGACAGACAGACTGAACGCAGTGCAGAAGAAAGGGGTCGGGGAGTGAGCAGAGAGGAAAACATTTCGGGACAGTCCTGCCCCGGGACCTGGCCGCACCCACCATCTCGTTCTCGAACCACAGGAAGTAGGAGAAGCAGAAGTCACCCTCCCGGAACAGCAGCGTGCTGTAGCCCTTCTGCAGACATCTGCGCGCCAGCCGGATCAGACACCAGACCTGGGGACAGGCGGAGAGTGTGCTTGTGGCGGCCCCGACGACCTCCCCAAGGCCCACGGCGTCGGCCCTCTCCCCACAGGGGGCCCAAGGCTCGGGCTCCCGGCTCTGGAAGAAAAGCACTTGGAGGAGGAGCTCCTGGAAGGCCAGCGGCTGCTCCCTCTCACCTGTTTCCTGTGAGCCGGGGCATGGCCTGGGTCAGAGCAAGAGCTCAAAAGTAAATCATCATCGGGTGGGTGTGTGGACTACCCCTCCTGAGTTACTGTGACAATAAAATACACGTAAAAACCCTTCACGTAACTTGACTATGCACGGAGGCCGTAAATTAGTAAACTGATCATTCAGCCCAGAAAACAGCCAAGCACGTTGTTAGTTAACACAACAGGAGACGAGGGTGTGGCCACCTGGAAACCCCGCCTGCTGTCCAGGGCCACCCGCCCACCGGTCCCCTCCAGGGGCGTAGGCTCTATGCCAGGAAGGTGCTGTGGGGCGTGTGAGCACAGAGGACCCTGAACCAGGCATGGGCTCTCTCCAGGGCTGAAGTCCCAACCATGGCTAATCCAAGGGCTTCCGTTCCAGGCCTGTGACCTGCCCGAGGGAAGAGAGCAGGGACAGCCTGACTCCTCCATTCCCCAGGGCTGGAAAAGGCCTGATGAGCTCTCGCACCAAAAAGCTTAGCGGAAGGCATACATGATTCACGGCAAACCTGACCACAGCGCAATGTCTAATTACATCTGCAAACAAATACGTGGATTTGCTGTATTTTCAGGAAAGCAATTTGACAACGTGTATCAATAACCTTAAAAACATTCCTCCCATTTGACTTAGTATTCCATTTCTGGGAATCCATATTGAGAAAATAATCAGAGATGAGGACAAAGATGGATGCGCAAAGGTGTGTGAGGCAGAATTATTTATGACCGTGAAAGCCTGGAAACAATCTAACTGTTCAACATTGGGGAAATGGCTAAGGAAATTATGATGAACTATTGTGGACTTGTTAAAAATCATGTTTATAAAGAATTAATGACATGAGGAAATGCATCAGATAGAAAGCGAAAACGTGGGTAAACACAATTGCATCTACGGAATGATCCAAGATTATGACCAATGGCAAAAAAACTGCACAGAAAAACAATGCAAAGAAATGCAGCCAGAGAACCCCTAACAATCTCCAGAAAGACGGTTGGAGAGGCTGGTACCAGCAACTGCTCCATGAATTCTGTTATCTTCCATGCCACATACCGTGCTGAGTATTTAACCCGCAGCATCTCACGAGTCTTTGATTGTTGCCCGCTGGGGACATCAAAAGTATCACCAGCCTCTTTCACAGATGAGCGCACACAGACACTCTGACTAAGTAATGCCCTGGGGCCACACGGCCAGGGAAAGGCAGAGCCCACCCCGCCTTTTGTCACCCTCTTGGTTTTAACTATTAGCGTGTACTTCAGACGAATCTAACAGATGTTTATACTAGACTACCTACCACATGTATAGTATATAAATATACACATACTAGTTTGCCATGAAATAGTCTATTAAAGAGAATACAAGAACCCCCAGCGAATGTTTCTTTAGTACAAACCACCTAGTGTTAAATCCTGTATCCAAACTTAATGACCTTGTGTTTCTTCTTTCCATTTGAGTTCATTCAACAAATACTTACTGGGATTTATTTATGACAAGCACAATGTTAGGCCCTGGCCATTTCCCCCTCTGACCTCACTGCCCAGACGTGCTCCTTCAGGTACATTAGAAGACACCCAGGAAGGTGCCCCCCGACATCGACTGAGGCCCATGTGGCCCCAGGTGCCAGGACCCTAGAGTGACAAGGCCCAGCTGTTATCCTTAGGAGCCTGAAGACCAGCTGGGTGCAGACACTGACAGAAGAGTACAGTAGGGTTAGGGCAGGGTGTGCTCAAGGCCTCAGGGGAGCCCCAAGGGTGGGGGGCATCAGTCTTTCCTAGACAGGGGTCAGGCCAGCACGTCTCATCTGACGGGGGTGAAGAGGACCCGGGCCAAGCAATGGTTACCTTGGTTCTGATGAAGGTGGCCAGTGGCCCCCTGCCCAGCTCTGACGAAATCCTTTTACTGCTGCTGAGGGAAGGGGCCACCATCTGGCCGGTCGTGCGGTCCACATAGATGAAATGCACCAAGCCCGGGAAGTCTTCTAGGTAGGTGAAGGTCGGAGTTAAGGTGCTCATAAAGCCAGGGACCAGGGAGAGTGCTACTCTGTCCTCCACCTAGGCTTCCGGCAAGGCTAAGCAGTGGGGTCCGGAGGCCAGGCCCGTCATGCCCACCTCTCCCCTCAGCTGCCATGTCAGCCAACCTCCTAGGGTCCCCGTTTTTCCAGGCCTCTTTACCTCTGAAGCCCCAACCGTGTGAAATTCTCCAGTGCAAGAACAATGGATCCCTGGACACTGGCACATCTAACCTGGGGAGTTCTAGACCCAACAGGAATAGTGAAAGTTCTTTTTTCATCATTTTCATGAGGGAAGAGTTTAAATCACAATACACAGTGAGGCTGGTGTGAGAGCAGACCTACCTACCTATGAATGAGCCCAGCTGACCGTCCAACCCACACACTTCGGTGTGGTTTTGTTTCTCTCTCCACACTTCACCTTCTGAAGCTGGAAGGTTCCCACTGGAAAGGGAACAGCCAACATGGCAGGGTGGTGGCTGGTGGCTAAAGGGGGCCTCTGTCATCCCTTTCACCTGCATACTGAGACCTTAATACAGGAAAAGCTGCTCTATATAAAGTTCCAGAGCAAATCAGTATTCGATAAAACTAGTGTTCCATAATAAAAGGGTCAAACAGGTCTTGGGTAGGGTTTTTTAAAGAAGGATAAACATTTTTGGTGTAGGCCTTCTCAGAGCCTTCACGTTCCACCGTGTACTGTGACATCTAAGGACACAGCCTCTCTAGCCACCTGAGCCCAGAACCCCTGCCCCTCCTGGAATAGCTGTTACCACTTTGCTGGCTGGACAATGTCAACATAATCCCCAAAGCTTTTATGAAGTCACTGAGGGATAGGAGGGATTTGTGAAATTTCAGTCCTGGGGCATTCCTACAGACAACACACCCATGACGGTATCTCCTATTCTTCAGAGAAAAGATGCTGAGGTGGTGGAATATATCTGCTCCTTCCCAAGAGCCCAGGGTCCTGCAGAGGTGGGCAGGCGCGGGGGACACGCAGACACGAGGGGCTCGGGCATGAGGATATGACACCATGGTGACGTTCCTCCTACTCTTCACCAACAAGAAGTCCTTCCAGTCCATCAGCTTCTCTCTGCCGGGGAAGCAGGGGAGGCGGGTGGGGTGCAGCGCCTCAGCCCCTGCTCTGGCTAGCGGGGGCCACACCCATACTTACTGCATGACGGCTTGCACCTGGCCCTGTAGCTGCTGGGGCAGATGGGGGCCCCCCCGGCCTGGAGCTGTGGTCAGGAAGCTGAGACGGTAGATGGCACAAAGCTGCCGCTTCACCTTCCCACACGCCTGGAGCAGCCTGGCATCAGAGAGGAGAGCGTGACAGCGGGAAGGGCCCTGGAGGCGGGCTGTCCACATGTGCGCTGGGGACACACACACCTAGGACCGCACTTCACCCCATGGGTCACCTCCTGACCGCTGACAGACACAGCTGCTGAAGCACACCCCTGCCCTCAGAGGCACCGGAGGCAGCTCCCCGGGTTTTCCCCCGTGTGGTGCGCAGTACTTGGGTAGAAGCTCCTGGAATCTCGCCCCACCCCCAGGGTTTATTTTATGGAGAAATGAGAGGAAGAGCACCCTTCAGGGCTGAGGCTGGGCGGGAACCTGAGTCCTCTGCCCCACGTTAAGTCCTCAAGGCCCTCTTCTCCACCTGCAGCCCCTCTGCCTCCCAGCCTCCCTCCAGCGTCTGCGGTCCGGACTCGGCTCTCCGGAAAGCCCCTCGCCCTCCTGAGCGCCTTCCTGAGCATCCTCTGCCTCTTGGCCTGGAGGAACCTGCTCCTCTGTCCAAATGACTCCCCCCATCCTCAGAGCCCACCACTCACTCCCAGGACGATCCGGGTTCGCTCCTGGAGAAAGCCTTGCTCTTGAACTCCAGCCAGGTGCTCTGGAGGACAGGGGACAGGTTGGCTTTGTGCTGATGACCCCACAGTGAGGTCCAGAGGAGACCCTTGCGATGTCGGGCTTGGTGAGGGACCCACACCTCTCGCCCGCTTGAGTATTTAGGCTCAGCACGCAGCTGCCCTCACACAGTCAAGCTGGCTCTCTGGCAGGTCCCCCCAGCTCTCCATACCCCGCCATACATACCATTCTCTTCAGTCAGCGGTTCTTTAAAGAGCAGTTTTTGTGCAGCAAGCACGGGGCTCACTGCCGAGCTGGCAGAGACGTGTAAACTAATGCTGTCGGAGGGACAGGCGAGGGCCCCAAACAGGGGGACGCGGAGCAGGCACTGGGGTGCTGAGGTGCGGCCCTGGCAAGCTCCTTAAAAGGGGACTTTACACCCGACCCCCACGCTCACCGTGATGGCCCGAGGCACTCCTCGCTCTGCCTCCTCCAACCATTCTTCTCATTTTCCGACGCCCGTGTGTGGCAGCCACAGTGAATCTCGGGTCCTCAGACGACCCAAGCTCCACCAGCTGCTTCCCCTGGGTGACCTACCCCTCCTGAACTCCTTGGAGGCCCCCGGCGGAGACTGTGCGTTTCTACTGTCTAGGCCCCTCCAGCCTCATCTCCAGCCTGGGCTGTGAGGAGTGCCAGGCGCAGGCTGCCGGCCTTCACGGCGCCCTAGAGTCAGGCTCTGCTCCTGCCACTCGCCTGCCCAGGAATCTGTGCCCTGGTTTCCTCACATAAAACACGGGATTTTGAATTCATGTTCTGCCAAACTCACGTCAAAATGCTCTGAAAATACTGCTAAGTTTCTGCTATCACTTCGTGATGGCGGAAACAAGGATCATGGGCCCGCGGTGGGGCCACCCCCGCAGTGTGGACAGAACAGACCCTGCCACCCCGGCCCTGCTTCCTCTCCCAGAGGCCGCCGTATCTGGGAACTGGGCCTCACCTGAATCTCTTGCCCCCCACGATTCTTGACAAACTTGTCCATCCTCTGCCGCAGGTCGCCCATGAAGGGGTGGGACCGCAGGGTGCTCCCGGCCTCCTGCCCCTCCTTCAGCTTCTTCTCCAGTAGGGAAAACCCGTCCAGCAGCTGGTACAGGACGAGGGCCAGGGGGGTGCTGGGGCCCTAAGGGAAGAAGCGCAGGGCAGGATGAACAGGGGCAGCCTGCGGAAAGGTGTCCAGGCTGGGGCACTGCCAAGGGAGGTGGGGGTCGCTCCTACCTTGGTTAGGAGTACCATATTGATGCCCGGCCACAAGGGGAGGCAGTAGGCAGTGTGGGGCACCATGGGGCAGTGGCTCTCCTTCACGTTGGCATCTAGGAAAATCCTTCTGGGGCCGGAAGCGACTGGGGAGGGAGGGACCAGCGTCTGGAGGCTGTCTTCAGCTATCTGTGGAGAAGAGCCGTCCGTGGGAGGGCTGGCGGTGGGGGGGGAGCCGCCTGGCCTTTGCCTCATGCACCCACCCATGGTTGCCCATTCGCTGTCTCCCCTGTGAACCATGGGGTAAACACTTTAGCTCCATGAAATCCAGTTCTTCAATTCCTGCGCTGTTACCACAGCCCCAGCAGCTCCCCTGCCTCCTCGGAGCCATTCTACCCGGAGTCAGGACTGGGTGGCAAGCAGGGGCCGTGACGAACAGCAACTGGGGCGGGTGGTAGAAAAGTGACTTAAAGGGCAGGAAAGGTTGGGGGTGGGGAGAGCTCTGTCCCAGGCCTTCACTCGGACACAGGCATGTCAATATCGCTGTCATTCTACCCACCCTGAGAACATCTGGACCGCTGGTCCCATGGGGGAAACTGAGGCGTGGAAGGACTAAATGAGCAAGACTCTAGCCTTACTAAATAAGTAAGAAGGGCTTTAGAAGGAAAAAGTAGAGAACTGAGGAAATCACCAGCGATGCCATGAGACCTTCTCTATCAGGATGGCACTGCAGTGTGAGAACAGCCAAAAAACTAGCAACAACGTACTAGCTGTTGTGCGGATCTGCTAAATAAGTTTAACAGAGGCACGTGATGGACTCTTATTCCTTACAGACCAGTGCGGAGTAAATGGAAAAATGCTCAAGGAAAACAGTGTAATGAAGGACATTAGGATTCAAATTTGGTAAAAGAAAAAAATACACGTAATGTACAAATATACATACATACATACACGGATACGTACGTATACGAATGTAAAATCAGAGAGAAGACAGAAACACCCCCAAATCTTAATAGTAGTTAACATCTGGGGGAAGGATTAAGAGTGACTGAGTGATTTTCATTCCTTTTCATACTTTTGTATTCCCCAATTTTTCTACAATGAATATACTTACGTTCTAATTTAAAAAGTCATCACAAATTAAGTTGGACTTTCAGTTCCAACAACAGTGAGGAGGGTGGGATTCCTCAGGAGTTGAGGTCGCCCTCCGCCCACCCCCCGCCCTCCTGGCCCCAGCCTCTGGGATGAGCTCTGTGCCCCACACTGACCAGCCCTGAGGTGGCAGCAGGAGGGCCGGCCCTGTGAGGAGTTACGGGGAGCAGAAACCTCAGAGTCCCCAGTGCCCACCGGAGCGTCTCCGATCAGCCAGTGCCCGGTAGACCTTCCCTCCCCAGGAGGAGGGAAGGAGAGACTCACCTGGACCTGGGGAGCATCCGTGGGTGGGGTGCCCTCATCCAGCCAGACGGTGCTACCTACAGAACACAGGTGATAACATAAATAACGTGAAAACGTGAACAACGGCTCAGCAGTGTGGCAGGAGGGGAGGGTGGGGCAGAGTACCTGGCAGGGGCGAGGGCACTTAGTAGGGGCTGGAGCAGCACTGCCCTGCTCTTCTGACCCCAAGCTGGAAGTGCAGGGTGCGCTCTGCAGTCCCAGGCTAGAGCAGCCTGGGCAAGAGAAGCTCCCCGCAAGGCCAGCTGCTGGGTGCAGGCTCCTGAGGATGTACCTGGCAGTGGCGGGGGAGGGGGGCATGCCCCTCCTTGGCCCCCTGAACCCCCTCCTTGACTCCACCCTCAGGTCCCTCCCTGTCTACCATGGTGCCTCTCTCCCAGAAGGCAGCACACTTATTCAATCAGCAAACCTTTACTGAGCACCTTCTCTGTGCAGGGAATTGAGCAGCTTACCTTTCCCAGCAGAGCTCATGGAAACTTACTGAACCCACTACATATTTGAAATATTACATGTTTGTAATAATATTGTTCTCCCTTATATCTCATTGCAAAGAGCCATCATTTGTCATCATGTTTCTCTAGGGAAGCCCGTTGATAGATACATCTGAACACCTGATTTACAAATGAATGAGTACTACTCAAGCCGTTTGTAAGCGGTGAGTTCCAGGCACTGGGAAATGGCATTATTTACAGCTCTGAGGCATGAAAACTAACCACTGAGAAAGAGGCCAGGAGGGGGTTTGTGATGAATGCGGGAAGGGAGCAGTAAGAAGAAAAAGGAGCTTTGGTGATCACCCCAAAGCAGTGTCTCTTGATGTGTTCTGCGCTCACAGAGAGCTTAGGGACCAGAGGACAGCCACGGACCCCGGGGCCCACAGGAAGTGTAAGTCTACAGGAGCTGGTGTGGGACCTCAGGGGTCCCGGCTCCTCGAAGCCCAAACACGGACTTCAAGTTAAGAACATCTAAGCCACTGGTTTTCAACTGCGGCTGCACATGAGACCTTTTGAAAATCTTGATGCCCAGGTCACATCCCAGATCCATTAAGTCCCAATCTGGCACAGGCAGGCCCGGCTTCGGGAGTTTTTAAAGACTCCTCGGTAAGCCCACTGTGTAGCAGGGTTTAAAGCCACTGCACTAACCTAGATCTGCGTGTAGGGCTGGCTCCCACGCTGATGCTCACTGGCCTCACGGGGCAAGTTTCTAGAAGTATTCTTACCTGGGTCCTTCACAGACTATAGCTTCACTGGTCTGGCTGAAGCGGCCTGGCTGGTTCTCACGTGCAGCCAGGGTGGAGAACCAGTGGCTTAAGGACACCACACAGTAAATTCCTTTCAAAACTCAGACCCTGAGAAGCATCTTCTCCTGAACCCCTGGCCTTCCTCTATTAGGTGACGTGAGCCATACGATCCTTCCTTCCCCCCAAGAGCTTCAGAGGTGAGTGTGACACCCATTCAGAGGGACTACAACAGTACAGATTTTGGCTTATCTTTTTTTTCAGCACTGTTGTCTATTGTTTTGTTAGCAACGTTTTGAATATTTTTCGTTTCTTTTGTTTACCCACCCACATCATCTGGAAAAACAGGTAAAGTATAGAAATTGAATATGTACATTTTAAACCATTATACTTGAAACCAAATGATTATTATTTAATTTTAGTTACGCATTAACTGATTTAAAAAAAGAGGGCAGAGAATACACCTATGGGAGATGACTTTTTAAATGAAATCAGCTTGTCACACAGCTTTAGGAATCATTTGAGTGGTTGAGCTTTCATTCAGGCTAGAGCTGGCGAGAGTGGGGGTGCAGAGGAGGACCTGCGGGCAGCATCCTGTGCTCTAGCCCCCACCTCTGGCTCCTCCCCAGGCCTCACCTGAGCTGTGCTCCTTGGGGGAAGGAGCTGGTGTGAAGTACTCCTCAGGGAGGGAGAAGCTGTCGGTCTCCTGGGAGGGAGAAGAGGGCATCTTGGGCCGAGGGCTGGGAGAGCGTCTCCTAAGGGCTCAACCCTGGAACCCGCTCCCCTCCACACACTGTTGCTGCAGAACTCCTCCTGGCCCGGGCTGTGGAAGCAGGGCCCCAGGCCTGCTGCACGGGGATGCTCTGGCTGCTCCATGGCTTCTGTGGGAAAGGCTGCCATCAGCAAGGGAGACCTAGTTAGAGCTCCTCTTCTGCTCCACTCCTCCCCGCCTCCCCACGGAGCCCAGTGCTTCTGCCCACAGCCCTCCACCCCCTGCACCTCCTGCCACCATGCAGCCCTGGGGGGGCGTCCTCACTTTCCACCCAGGTTTCAACTCTAGGTGGCCTAGTCTTTCTCCAGAACCGCTGAAATTCCCAAAATTCCAACACACTGGCAACCGAGCCGCTGCCGATAATGGGGACGGTGTGGGCAAAGATGGTGGCTAGCACCTACTGGGCACCCCAGGCACCGCTGGCCTCTAGGTAAACTGTCCCCTCTACTCCTCCAAACAACCCTTGTCCCATTGCACAAATAAGGGAATCGAGGCCTAGAGCGGCAGGGACTCCAAAAATCTGCCCTTCTCACTGACTAAACCACATGCATTCTAGAATTCCTGTTGCATCTGAACACAGCAGGAAGCCAAAAGCCTGTCCAGAACTGTGATGCAGAAACACAGCCTCCCCAGATGGTCTGCCCAGCACTCTGCTGACTGGGTTTTGGAACTGCCCGGGGAACTGGCCCAAGACCTGAGGGTCATCGTCCTCCGCTGTGGTCTCGCTGGGGTAGTGATCCTGGACCAGGAGGATGAGGGCGAGGAGGTCAGCTGGGCGCAGGGAACTGGCACTGTGGCTGCAGAGAGAGCAGCCGGCTGTCAGCGCACACTGGCGCCCCCTGCAGGTAACAGCAGGCGCGGGGCAGGCAGGTTAAGGGAGTTTGGAGCAGGGTCCCCGCTCTCAAGGAATTTATGAACGTGTCAGCTGGCTTAATCCTTCTTGGAGAAAGGCAAGGTACAAATAAAATTAATCAGTTCATTAATTTTTAAAATAAAACTTGGTGTATTAAAGAAAAAAAAAACCCACCCATGAGAAACCACTGGAGACCAGTCACAGCCTATGGGGAACTTCTAGAATTCAGATTCGGAGACAGTGTTCCAGAAAGACCTAATTCAGAGAAGGGAATGAACTGAGAGGGTCAAGAACTGAAGAGTTAAGGAGGCTTCAGGGAAGAGACAGGTCTTGAAGATCTTCTTGGCTAGGGAGGTGGTGCTTTTTAGGTAGAGGATAAAGGGCCGGGGGGAGGGCAGGCGGGGAGGCAGGGGTCTGGGCCACTGCCTCCTGGGACAAGGGCTCACCTGGAGTAGAAGGCCAGCAGCTTGGAGTGTACAAGCAGGAAGGCGTGCAGGGCCTCCTCGCCAGCCCTCTCGGGGCTGGAGTTCACAGCCTGGATGACGTGCCGCTCCAGGGCCTCTATGCATAGCTCACAGAGCTGAGGGTGAATCAATCGCTCCACAGCCTGGCGGGCAGGGAAAGGAAGCCGTGTCACCGACCACCCTCCCCTGCTCCAGGCCCTGGCTGGTGGGTATACTCGCTCAGTCCACGCTGAACGCATGCTATGTGCCAGACACTTGGGAACAGGGCGACTTGGGCCAGCCTTCCTGGGGCTTATGGTCTGGTCACTAGACTCTAGTGGATGAGACAGACACTATGCCAGGAAAGAGACAAGAGAAATGCCAACTCGAGTAAGTGCTGTGTAGGAAACACCTGGTACCGAATAGCACCTACTTGGGTAGGGTGTCCGAGGAAAATGTCCTTGAGGAAGTCACCTCTAAATTGATATCTAAAGAACAAGAAATCCTGTTAGAGAGAGTGGAGGGGGAGAATGCTGCGAGCCGAGAAAAGAGCATATGCAAAGGCCCTGAGTTGGGAAGAGAGTTCACAGTGGTGCTGTCCAATGGATCTATAAGGCAAGCCCTACGCATAATTTAAAATTTGCTAGTAACTACATTTAAAGAGTAAAAAGAAATAAGAGAAATTAATTTTAATATTTATTTTATCCAATATACCTAAAATCTTATCATTTCAATATACAATATAAAAGCATTATTAATGGGATGTTTGACACTCTTTTTTTGTACTAAGTCACCAAAATCCAGTGTATATTCTACATGTACAGCATAACTCAATTTGGACAAACTAGATTTCAAATGTTCAATAGCCAAATGTAGCTAATGACTACTGAACTGCACAGAATTAAATATCCAGTGCTCCTGACATGGAAGGAAGTCCTGGGAGGCCAGGGCGCAGTGAGTAAGGGCAGAGGGGCATGAGCTGGGGTGAGTCCCGCAGTGGCAGGTCATACAGGGCCTGGTCGGTTCCGGAAGGAGTGTGGATTTTAAGTTAACTGCATTAGACCATCTCCTACAAGAAGCCTTTCTTGATGTCTCAGAAAGAGCTGGTAACGCCATCCCTCGCACCATCGTGGATTCGGATGGGAAACCCAATAAGGCAGCACCCAGGATGCTTTATTATGTTTTCAGGCATATATGTACGGCTGATTTCCTCTCAAGGGCAGTGATGGTATCTTCACTCATCTCTGCTCCTGAAGCCTGGCACACCTCTTAGCATACAGTAGGTAGTACACATTTATCAGAGGAGTGAGGGAGCAGGGTGTGAAAACGAATCCTTCAGATCTATTTTCCAGTTCACTAATTCTCTTTCTACTTATGTCTCATCTACTGTTTAAACCATCCCTGAGGTTTTTAACAATTATGTTTTTATTTCTTAAATACCTATATGGGTTCTCGTTTAGCTTTTATGTCTTTAAATATTTCAGAGTTATTTTATGTTCTGGACCTAATAATTCCAGTATATCAAGCTCCTTGGGATCTAAATCTATTGGTGATTGGTTTTTCTCTCACTCGTGGTGGCTCATGTCCTTGTGCTTCTGTCAGCTCTGAGCTATTTGTTTGCTCCGAACCCGTCCTCTAAAGCAGTGGCTTTCAAAGTGCAGTTCCTGGACCCACATAATCAGCTTCACTGGTGAACTTGTCAGAAATGCAAATTCTAGAATCCCCAGACCACCCCCACCCATGAGAAAAGTGAGGCCTAGCAACCCTTATCTCACAAGCCCTCCAGATGATTCGGATGTACCCTGAGGGTGAGAACCGCCACTCAGGAGGAAATCTGTGTTTGTCTCTACAGGGAACCAGCAGTGGTACCCGCAGCGACCACCTGAGCTCCTCAGACCAGGCCTTGGCGCAGGGATCTCGGGCTCAGGCCCCAGCTGCTGAGGGCCTAGTCAGGGCTCTGACTGCACTCAGGCCTTCTTGCCTTTAGTGCCGCTTATTTTTCCCTACTGTCCATGCTAGTTTCAGCTCAATATAATTTGGCGGGGGGCGATCAGAATTGAGGGAGCTATCTTCAGAATTTCCATAATTTACTGTGAGCCCCAAACTGCATTAAAAAGGCTGTTTTATCTAGGGTCTCACTGTTTTATTGTAGGGAGCCCCAACAGAGTATTGAACCCACCATGACGCCACAAAGAACAACCTTCTAAAGATAAGAGTCTGAGGGTCTGTGACCTCACTCATGACACGGGGGGTGGTGTGTGTGTGTGTCAAAACTTGGCCTTAAAGCTCCTGACACTCCTGTGGCCCGAGACCCCCCGCGCCCAGTAGTCACCTCCACAGCGAAGCACTGCTCCTGCTCCCGCAGGCGGCCATACGTCCACAGCAGGCTCTGGAAATGCTCCCACACCTGGATGCGCAGCTCAAGGTCTGGGGGCCGCAGCCTGGGGGCAGAGCAGGAGAGACCCTGAGAAAGCTGCCTGTCCCCACCTTCAACCAAAGGAGCAGAGTTACCATCAGGGCTGGGCAAGCTCGTGTGACTTGAGGCGACAAGCAGGAGAGCCCTCCGAGCATGGAAGGGCTGGTCCAGGCTGCGCCCTGGCCATGGAGGGGGAGCACAGAACCAGGAAGTAGGCGCCCAAGCAAACACTTCACCTCTCAGTTTCCTTCATACACGGGACATACGACACGAGGTCAGCTAGAGAGTCTCCAGGAAAGAGCCAGGGGTGGAGTACGAATGAGCAGCTTCACAGAGGCCGGCCACCTGCTGCACGGCCTGAGAGGGTGCTTGGCAGAGGACCCAAAGGGGACCGAGACGAGGACTCACTCCTTTCGGATGAGCTGGCTATCCACGGTGACCAGCCCGAAGTGCACCTCGAACAGGTACTTGAGCACGCACAGCTTCTGCCGCAGGTCACCCTCGCCCTCCGTGTGGTCTCCATTGATGGCAATGAACAGGCATTCTCCAAACTGTAGGCGGAGGGGGCTGGTGTCAGCCAGCCCCAGGGGACCCCTCACCTGGCCTGATCCTGGAGGAGATCGAGGGGAGGCCTAGGTCCCAGGGGATTTTGATAGGGCGGTTTCTGCCTTCTAAAGGAGTCTGAAGTTCAAGGTAAGGGCGAGGCATGTGGACAGATAGCCCACGGCACTGAGGGAAGAGGAACATGGGCTCAGGGGTTACACACTCACCAGGTGAAGGACGTACAGATAGTTGCCATTTTCCGTTGAGAAGCACGTGTATGTATCTGAGAGCTTCTCCAGCATGGTCATGGAGGAAATGATGACTGGGGCCAGGAGGGTGCTGAGCTGGTCCTCCATGGCAGGAAGCTGCAAGAGGGGAAGAAAGTAACAGCACTTGGAGTGCCAGACCCCAGTGACAAAGGAATGGACAAGACCCAGGCCTCGCTAGCAAGGGCGTCCGTAGTTTTAGACCTGCCTGGAAGGGACCACCACCCTGACAGGGAAAGAGGCAAGAGGAGACTGCACCCAGCACCTGAGTGGTAGTGAGAAAAGGCTGGGAAGGGTCAGCCAGCTACCTGTGCCGTTCTGCCTCTGAATCCAGAAGGAAGCATTAAGGACTTAGGCCACATCTCCACAGTGGAACGTGTGGGGCATTTAATGGAGAACTGACCGACTCTAAGGACGTTCTCTATGTGTCCTAAAGTCCATGCTTTTTGTTGCGGTTTCCGGGGAATGTATCCTAAGGACAATGATCGGGGATAGGCCAAAGATGCGCACAAAGATGCTCACTACAGCGTAACACATGGCAGCAAGCAACTGTAAAAACCTGAAATGCTCTGCACCAGCGAAACAGTTAAGGAAATAACAGCTCAGCTAAATGATGGAAGAAGGTAAAGCCACCTAAAATAGGGGAATGTTTCAATGACATGGATGATTCTTCTGATGTTATGTTAAAAAAAATTGTTGTGAGTGATATTTTAAAAAACATAGAAAAAACCAAGTATTGAAAACATATTAAAAAAGTCAATGCAATGCTGCTAAAGTTATTCCTTCTGGCTGAGAGAGTATGAGACTTCCCCCACTTTTTATGCTTCTGTACTGCCCCCATTTCCATAACAAGCCAACCTTCACTTTTAGGAGCTCTTCCTCCAACCAGTCTCTCCGCCCTCCAAAATCAGGAACAAAACAAACAGAACCAAAGAGAAACTGGACAAATTTGCTGACAATCCGCAAATAAAACTGCATAAAGCCAGCAGAATGGGAACCACTCAAACCCTCCTCAATGGAAGGGGAAAAGAGAACAGCTGATCTTCCCCACACTGATCTCGGGAGACCTGACTGCAATATGGAGAAAGCCGAATCCCGACTTTGAGCTTGTGAAATCTGAAAGGAGAGCAGTCAGACCTTGCCTTGAAAAGAAAAACAGGCAACCAACCAGGGGCAACATGCAGCATTTACAACAGGAGCGGGACGCAACGCCGTGGTGAGGATTTCCTTCCAACTTCCTCAGTGCTCAGGAGCCGAGATGAGTCTAGCTTTAGCAGTGGTTCCTGCCCACCCCCTGGGCCCAGCTCAGATGGCCCCTCTCCTGACCATCTCGGCCACCCTGCCCCCGTCACTCCTTACCTTCCTCGGCACATTTAACATTCCCTTAACTCATGTGTTTATTTCCACCCCGTTCACTGTCTTTCCTCCTCCCTCTGTAGCCCTAAGTTCTGTGAGAGCAGATCATGTTGCTATGGTCACTGCTTCACCCCCAGAGCCTGGTGCATAGTAGGTTCTCAGTTAATATTCACTGAATGAATATCCCTCCACGGAAGCAAACATTTGTTCAACTGCTCATGTGCCACAATTTTCTTGAACTGTCATGGGCAGATTATGTTAACAGAAAGTCATTTAAAAATCTAGATGTGTACTCGTTTTTTAAGTAGTGGCTTTTTCGGCAGGTGTAGTGAGATTTTTTTTTTAAAGGTTGGGAAGATGAAAATATTTGGCATAGGCAGAGTGTAAAGGAATTACTATTACTTGGAATTATAAAGTGGTACATTATCTTTGAATGGCTTTTGAATCAATGTTTCTGTTTATAGGAAATTATCCTAAGGAAACGAGATGTGGGATCAAATTCAAGCATGAATGTTCCCTACAGCAATAATTTTAGCAAACTAGAAACAATATACATGTCCAGTATGGGAAAAATGGTCAGATAAATGGTACATTTATTTATACACTGGAATATAATGCTTCCATTAAGATTTATGCTTTTGAGATTATTTAACAAAAAAGAATAATGCTTTTGATATAATGGCAAGTGGATAAACAGAAAATAGAACTGTAAATGTGGTATGATCCCAACTACATATAAAAGATAAAGACCCAAAGGAAATATATAGAAGAGCTAATGGCTCTGGTACTAGAATTATGGGTCATTTAAAAACGATTTCTCTATATTTCCCAATTTCCTACAATTAATTCATGTTATTTATAGAATCGGGGAAAAAAATAAGTGTTGTGTACATAAAAATAAAACTTTAGACATTTTTTCTTTAGTCACTTAGGAACTGAAAAATTAGGATTTTGTTCCTTTATAAGGCTTTTAATAAAGAGGAAGATAAACATGATCAGATAACTTGCTTCTTTTGCTTGTTTTATTCACTCATTCACCGATATACTGAGTGCCTTTCTGTCAATATTATGGCAATTTCTGGGGATACAGAGGTCTACTGATTGTTAACTTCTTCAACTGACCTGATTGAAATAGAAGTTTAAGAACAAAAATATTAAAACTTTATGTTTTGGGGCGCCTGGGTGGCTCAGTCGGTTAAGCATTCGACTCTTGATTTCAGCTCAGGTCATGATCTCGGGGTCCCGAGACAGCCCCGTGTCGGGCTCTGTGCTCAGCAGGGAGGCTGCCTGAGATTCTCTCCCTCTCCCTCTGCTTCTGCCCCTCCTCCCCTCTTGCACTCTCTCTCTAAAATAAATCATCTTTAAAAAAGAAAAAAAGAACTATATGTATTGACTGCTAAAAATAAAAGAGCCTCATAGATAGACTTGTTTTTTAGCTTAAAGAAAACCACTAGAATGTCATGATCTCTGATATCTTTATTCCTAAAGACTGTGACAAGAATATTGGTGATGTTGGGTGGATTAAGCTGCTCATGCAGAACTGGCTCAGCTGGTGATTACACCCAATAGAGCGAGAAGGGGCTGGCAGGCCACCCGTCAGGGCTGCGGCAGAAATGCCAGAATTCTCTCTACTGATTTCCCTGCAGAAATGTTTAATCCAAAATTCACCTGGAGAAAATTTTCAAAATAAATCACTCCTTTCAAACACAGAGTAGAAATTATGAGTGAAAATGACAACTATCTCCGAGCTGTAATATTTCCAGGGTCACTCTGGATGTCCATATGCAAAAGATAAACCTTCATCCATACTTTACATCATATACAAAAATTCAAAGGGGATCTTTAGACCTAATATAAAAGTGGAAACTATGAAAAGTCCGGAAGAAGATATAGGGAAAACTCTGTGATCTAGGGTTGGACAAAGATTTCTTAAGATATGACACCAAAAGCATGATTCCCTAAAAGCAAAAAATGGATACACTGGAGTTATCAAAATGAAAAACTTCCACTCTTTACAAAATACCAGCTAACGGATGTGAAGACGACACACAGACTGGAAGAAAATATTTGCAAAACACTTACCAAATAAAGGACTTGCATCCAAACTATGTAACACTATCAAAACTCAGTAAGAATCCTAAGAAATAACCTACCCAACAAAAAGATGGGCAAAATGTGAACCGACTTCAATGAAAAAAGACACAGGGAGCAAATAAGCACATGAAATGATGTCAAAATCATCAGCCAATAGGACATGAAAATTATTAGGACAATGAGATTCTAAGAGATACCTATTAGAATGGCTAAAATTAAAAAGACCACAGCCAAGCGTTAGCGAGGGTATGGAAGGGGAACTCTCCTACATGCCTAGTGCGCTGGATACGCTACAACCCCTCTGGCCAAGCCTGGCAGTTGCTTACAAAGTTTAGCATACACCTCCACGATCTAGCCCTTCTACCCCAGCTATCGACCCAAGAAAAGTGAAAGGCAACGTTCATACAAAGACCTGCACATGAATGTTCACATCTGCTTTATTGGGAAGAGTGAAAAATGGGCCACGGTTACCATCAGCAGGTGCACAGATACACCACCCATGGTGTGCCGATACCACAGACTACCTCCCGCTCAGCAGGGACAAGGAACACACTACTGATACCTGCTGCAACAGGGATAAATCTCAAAATTATGCTGAGCTAGAAGCCAGACCAAAACCGCTTTGAGTATATACTGTATGACTTCATTTACCTAAAAGCCTAAAAAATACAAAGTCCTCTATTGTGACAGAAAGCAGACTGGTGATTGCCCAGATTGGGGAAGGTGGGGCAGGGGTCACAAACTTGCGGGATGACAAATGTATTTTATTGATTGTGACAGAATCACAGGTGTGTGTGCGTGCGCGTGCACACGCATATCTCAAATCGCACCCTTTGAGAATGTTCAGTGTACGGTATGTCCATTATACCTGAACGTAGTCGTTTAAAAAATTGATGTGTTAAGCTTATGCTAAACTTTTTAGGGAGAGAAAACGAGGACACCAAATTTCTCTGTCGTGTGGTTTAAACTCTACCTCCTCCTCCTGCTCTCATTTAGCCTGATGAGCCCTGGTGGAGTAGGGGTGAGGTCACTAACTCGAGAGCATCAAGAGGCCAACCTCTGAGGACGAGCAGCTGGGTGTGCAGGGCTCTGGACCGCACGCACCACCCTGTTAGTTCCTCAGGCTGGGCCAGGAGCGGGTGGGCAGGTTCTCCCGCCTCCGGGTACTTCTGGGCTGTTGTTCCCTCCCAACCCCCTCCTGCCCTGCACTCACCTCTTCTCCCTCAAACCCGAACTTCAGCCGCAGACTCTCTGCAAACTCCTCGTCTGTCCAGTAGAAGAGGACCTCTGCACCTTCTGTGGCCACTAAGACGCACTTCATCTGCCAGGGAGAAGCAAGGTCCAGGTCACCTCCCAGCCCCTTTATCCAGAAGCTCAGCCTGAGTAACGAAGAGGATCATAACCCCAGCAAACACCTACTGAGCCCTCACAGGGCACCGGGCTCCATGACAGGGGCCTTCCTGCTATTATTTCGTCACAGCCTCACAACCAGCTGAGGAGGTAGGAATCTTTAGTTACTCCCACTTTCTAGAGCAGGACTTAGCACAGCTTGGAGCTCCTGGGATCTAAACCCAGGCCTAAGGCTGGGGCTCTTGCCTCTGTTTTCCAGCGCCTCTCGCCAGATCGTCAGACTCATCATGGGCCCACCTACACCAAGCATACGGAAGGACCCCGCTCCTGATCTGGACAGAGGATCAACTCTCCAAGAGGGGCAGGCAGTATGGTGGCTCATGGCCCTCAGTGCCTGGTCTAGGTGGAAGGAGGCTAATGCACCTCTCTCTAGGCAGTTCAGAAATGTGTTTCTCCTCGAGGCAAAAACAGTTCCAGAAGACAAGCTTCAAAGCCCCCAGGAGCGGGTTCAGCATGACATAACGTCATTCACGAGTTCCTTTTGCTCTGGGTGAAAACACCGGCTGCCTAACCTTGTCCACAGTTCACGCTCACACTTTTTTGGCTTCCTCAGCCACATCCCCCTGGATCTTTGGCCCTCCCAAACCGCCTTCCCCACCACCCACACATGCACTTTCTGTGCCACACATTTTAATGCCTGATTATACAAAATGTGTCTCATTATTCATCAGTGGGGAGAGTCTTAGCTCAGAGTGTCCCACACCGTGCCTTTCATTCTCCAGGGGGTGGGGGGAGCAGCAAGACACTGATCCTCTCAACCTGGGGGCAGCCTGACCAAGCCAGGTGAGGTCCGAGTTCTCAGGTCAGCTGCTTGCAGATGAGCAAACCCCAGGCAGGGGCTTCACATCTTCTCTTGTACCTCAGTGCGCCACACGGACAAGATCGCGTTGTACGTGTGCCGAGACAGGACAATGACCAGAAAACTCTGCTCTGACTGCCCCATGAGGGGATGTCCAGTTTCAAACAGGATCACAGCATCTTGAGGCCTCAGACTCAGTGACACTCTTTGGGATCCCCTAGGCGCCCAGTGTGGTGGCACTTAATGAATTCCTCCCCAATCTCCGGGGCGGGGTTTATCAACTCCCAGCACCTGGCCTCAAGGTGGTTCCTCCACAGTGAACAAAGAATGCAGCCTATTCCCATGGAATTGCTCAACACCAGGCAGAGATGGGGAGAGCAAACGAGTGTGAAGCAAAGGCTGCTGGCTGAGGGCAGGTGATGTGGAAGAGGAGGCTCTGGGACTCCCAGGTGAGTGTGACAAAGACGGGGGCTCGAGGGGCAGACCTGATGGGAAGGGAGCGTGTGTGCAGGGCAATGGTGGGCTACAGCATGGAGGGTGGTCGGCAGCGGATAGCCCCCTGTAGGCTGGGAAGCCTGTGGGGAGTGACGTCCTGGGTCCAAGTGGGTGAGGTTAAGGATCCTGGTGTGAGGTAATGGGGGCCCACTCCTTGGGCAGAGGCCAGGAGAGGAAGGGGCCGATGCAAGAGGTGTAGCTTAGGGTGGTAGGCCTTGATGACGGCCCGGAGGCAGGGGAGGAAGGAGCAAACAGGCAAAGGTCACAGGAGCAGGCGGAGCTGGGGCAGGGGTGGGGGGACAGGGAAGGCTCAGTCCGCTTTGCCTGCCCTGGTGTGTGCCACCTGTTGCCTCAGAGTGACTGCCGTCTGCCTCTGTTCTGCCCCCAGGGCAGGCAGGATCATTCACCTTGGCAAGGGGCACCGCCAAGCCCCCGCACAGCCGGAGGTTCACAGAGGGCTGCAGGAGGCACACTCGACGACCAGCTCATGGAGAGCAGCACGGCATCTCGGGTCCTGAAAATGCTTAACACAGAGAGGTCATGAGGGCAAGCAGAGCCTCTCATCTGACTGCTGTCCATTTCGGGGAGCACCAGCTGATGAAGGACTCAGTGGTCGCATGTCTCCCTCCCGCCCTTAGGCAGTCTGCTCAGAACACACACCCCACAGCCAGGAGGCGCGGGTGCCCTGTATCCCTACCCCCACACTCCCGCAACACGAACCCGCCAGCACAGTCCTTTCGACATAGCAGGGGCCCACAAGCATTAATTCCCACCTCCTGTTTCCTTCCCGGCACTCTCATTTTACCGTGGGTCACTCAGAGCCCTGGTGTGGTCAGCAAACCCGCCCTGATCAGCCCCAATGGGCTTGGTAGGAGTGACTGGGGAGACAGCACAGCCCAGACCCACAGGGAAGCAGGCCCAGAAGGGAGGGGACATCCTGGGACGATGAAGGAAACCAAAAAAGACACCAGAGACCTGGTTCTAGTTTTGACTTGGCCAACGCAACTCTCTGAGTCTCAAACCTCTGCTCTACCTCCCTACAGGGTTATAGGGAAAAACAGAAGAACCAGGCGGGAAGCACTTAGCAAACTCTGCTTTCTTACACAGAAGTGGGCTTACTTTCCCTTATTTCCCAGCTTCTCTTTGTAAACTGGCTCCAGAATCATTCACATTTTGATGATAAAAGGCAGGAATAACATAAAGCTGTAACCTAATTCGGAAACCAAACCTTGTAAGCAAATAAGAGGCAAGAAAGGATACTTCGGGGTTTAGCATCTTTTGCCGCATAACTGAGACTAGCTACATCACCGGCATGCCTGGCCTTAATGACGTATTCCCAGAAAAGTGGAAATGATTTTCTTAGGTTCTACTGTTGTTGGAAAGCGATCCTTGCCTGTGGTGTCATTTTGTGATTTCCCTGTTCTCCTCTATCCTGCTCTAAAGAGGCCCCACAGGCCTCACTGGAGCTCCAGATGGCGCGGGGCCAACCTGGGGAAAACCCCCGGCCCCACTTTCTCCACCTTCCCCAGCAAACCGCCCTCAGGCCGCCGCGCCCGCCTCCCAGCAGCTCTGTTTCGGGGCGCTCGGCTCCGTCCAGGCCCCGGCCTTGCCCCTGCTGGGCTGGACGCCCCGGGAGAGAGACACCGCGGGGCGCCCGCCCCATGGCGCCTTCCTGTGTGCCCCGCACTCCACAGTTTATGCAGCACCCCCAAGCCCCCGCGAAGCTCACAGCTACCCTGGGAAGAAGGCGCGGCTGGGGGTGCCCGCCCCACTCCGTGGCTGCAGAAGCCTAGGCTCCGAGAGGTGAAAGGCGGGGTCTGTGCGGCCGAGGTGGGGCCCGCCCCCACTTCCGGGAGGGCCGCGGGGCTGGGGGAGGCAGGAAGCCCCGCCGCCCACGGAGGGGCAGTGCGGAGCGGCGCTCGGACGGAAGGCGAGGCCCACGTACCTGCTCGCCGCCCTACACCGCCCAGCCAACCGGGCCCCGCGGGCGCGCTTCCGGGTGCGACCACGTGACCTCTCGCGTCACCGCCCCGCCCGGAGGAGAGGCTGGAAGCGGGTGCGGGCTCCGCGGGTTCGAGCCCGCCGCCCGCCCGGCGTCGCTTCTGCTCGTGGGCCTCTTCGCTCCGCTCGGCCTCCCGGCCCCGCCAGCCGGGGCTCTTCCGGTTCCGCGGCCGCATTCCTTCTGTCGTCGAGGAGCGCGCGGAGGCCTGCGGAGTTGGGGGTAGCTGCCCGCAGCTGTCAGGGGCACCTGCTGCGTCCGCCACTGGGCTTGCCCCTCCGCTGGCTGTAGCTCTAGTGATTCCCCACCGAGGCACTAGGGACATGTCCCTTTTCGCCCCGCTTCACACAGGGGAAAGCAAGGCCCAGAAAGAGGAAATAATTTGCAGAGGGCCCGAGTTAGGATCAGAGCCCAGGTCTCCTGGCTCCCGCGCGGCTTTTTCCCACCCTCTGGCTTTACCTGCTGAACCGCAGTCCCCGAACGAGAGCTGCCCTCCGTGACTGTTTTCCGTGGCCTGGGGAGAAGACAGCCCGCCCAAGGGCCCGCTTGCCCCCACTGTGCCAACGCTGGAATTTAGTTATAAAGGTTCTCAGTCCATTTGGGAGGCGGGGTGCACCTGTGGGGCTTTGTTTAGAACCCGTGTTTTCAAGATTTTCTTAAATTGTGTATTTGGAGTGGCCGAAGTGCGGGGTTGCTGATGAAGATCACGGAAGGGAGTAAATCCCCTCCCAGGTCACCCCTCAGTGCCTTGGTGCTGCCTGGGGCTTTGGGCGCAGCTCAGCGGAGGATGAGTTGTGGGGACTGGTGGGGCCCAGCAGATTGCACACCCCCTGGGGAAAGGCAGGGACCGGGAATTAATGCCCCCACCACCTGCAGACAAAGCAAGGAGCACTACCCCCCCGCAAATGTTCTCTCCCTCCTTCCCGGCTCACCTTAGGGTCCGCACCTTCCAACTCCCCAACTGCTGCACATACCGGCTGCAGGCATTGCTCTCTGCAGCCCACAGTTGAGTTTGGTCTGGCTGTGCGCTCTTCATCCTGCTATTTTCACTCCCCTTGTTTCTCTCCTATGTCAGACTCATCATAAGCATGAATTTCAGTGGTTGAATAAATTCCATCAAATGGATATGCTGCCCTTCTTCTCTCTGACTGCTAGTAGTTTCCAGTTCCCACCAGCAACGTAGGAGGGTCCCAATTCTCCACATCTGCGTCAACGCTTGTTATTGTCTGTTTTTATTTAGCCGTCCTAGTGGGTGTGAAGTGGTATCTCCTGATTTCGATTTGTGTTTTCCTGATGACTAATGGTGTTCAGCATCCGTTCATGTGCATTTTGGCCATTTGTATACCTTCTTTCAAGAAATGGCTATTCAATTCCTCTGCCCATTTAAAAGTTGTCTATTATCAAATGGTAAGTTCTTTATACTGGATACAAGTCCCTTAGTAGATCTATGATTTGCAAATTTTTTTCCTATTATGTGGGATTTTTTGGTTTGTTTATTTTTGCTTTCTAAATGGTATCACTTCTGGCACAAATGTTTTCAGTTTTGATTTAATCCAATATACCCATTTGTAATGCTTTTGTGTCAACGTAAGTTTTTATTTTACTTGGGTAAATATTTAGGAGTAGGATGGCGGGGCTGTATGATAAGTAACTGTATGATATGGGGTGTGTGGTAAAGTGCCTGCACTATTTTACACACCCCTGGCAGCACTGAGAGCTTTTGCTGCTCTGTAGCCTCCTTAACACTTGACATTGTCCTTTTATAATTTTAGCCATTCTACTAGGTATGTTGTAGTATCCCACCCACTGGGGTTTGAATTTCCATTTTCCTAATGACTAATGACGTTGAACTTCTTTTCATGTGTTTATATGCCATGTGTATAGCGTTCAAATCACTTTCCCATTTCCTAAAATTGGATTTTTTTCTTATTATTACTTATATGACTTCTTTATATATTTGGACACGAATTCTTTATCAGATATCTTTTTTCCTTTTTTTCTTTTTTTTTTTTTTTTTTGCCAGCCTGTGGCTTTGTCTTTTCATTGTCTTTACAATGACTTTTGAAGAACGGAAGTTTTTGTGTTTTTTGTGCCACTGCCCAAAACATCTTTGCCTAAACCAAGGTCACAAAGATTTCCTCCTGTTTTCTTCCAGCAGTTTCATAGTTTGTTTTGCACTTAAGTCTGTGATCCATTTCAAGTTGATTTTTGTAGAAAGTGTGAGAGAAATGTTCAGGTTCATTTTTTGTGTGTATAGATATCCAATTTTTCTAGCACCATTTGTTGAAAAAATATCCTTTCTTCATTGAATTACTTTGACACATTTGTCTCAAATAAATTGACAATAAATATGTGCATCTATTTCTGGATTTTCCATGCTGTTCAGTAAATTTAGACGGATTCAGGTCACATAAGGATTTTATTAATTTTCTCAAGCAGCTTTTGGTTTCAACAATTTTCATTGGTTTTTCTGTTTTTTATTTCACCAATTTCTACACTATTTACTGTTTCCTTTCTTCTGTTTACTTTGGATTTAATTTGTTCTTTATTTAGTTTCCTAGGGTAGAAACTGACCCATTGATTTGAGACCTTTTGTCTCCAACAAGGGAGTTTGCAGCTATAAATTTCCCCCAAGGTACTGTTTTATCAGCATCCACAACTTTTGATATGTTGTATTTTCATTTTCAGTGAGTTCAAAATGCTTTCTAATTTTTCCTTTGATTATTTTTTTGGCCCATGGATTACTTGGAAGTGTGGTATTAGTTTCCAGCTATTTGATGGTTTTCCAGGTATCTTTCTGTAATTGGTGTCTATTTCAATTCCATTTGGCCGGAGAATATGCTTTGTGTGACTTGAGTCCTTTTAAATTTATTGATGGCCTAGGATATGATCAATCTTGGTGAAAGTTCCAGGTGTACTTGAAAATAATATATATATATATATTTAGTTTGAGTGATCTACAAATGTCAATTAAGCCAAGTTGGTTGATAGCTACGTTTAAGTCTTCTCTCTCCTTAATGATTTTCTGTGTACTTATTCTATCAAATATTGAGATAGTGATATTGAATTCTCTAACTATAATTTTGAATTTGTCTAGTTCTCCTCATGGTTCTGCCAGGTTTTGCTTCATATCTTTTGAAGCTCTGTTATTTGATGCATATACATTATGATTGTTACGTTCTCTTAATGAATTAGCACCTATATCATTATAAAATTACCTTTTAATCTTCGACGCTATTCATTGCACTAAATCTACTTTGTTTGAGAACAGTGTAACCACTATAGCTTTATTGTGATTAGTTCACATGGCATGTGGCATGTGATTAGTTCACATGCCATGTTCAGGACATGCAACCCCAAAATATGCCACTTTGGTATCTTGATTATTGTGAGCTAAAGGCACTTGAAACACAGCAGGTGCAAGAAGGGCATGCTGACCTTCCCTTTTCTTTCTGCAAGCAGGGGATGAAACTCCCATGGGAAAGATGCCCTCCCCTTTCCAGGAGGAAAGGAACTT